TACGCGTGGGGAAATCACTAAATTAGAGTCTCCCGTCTCCCCCTTTGTTTTACATTTACACATTTTTTGTGGGGGATTCTTTTCTCTCCCTCTCCCTCTGTCCCCCTCTCTCTCCGTTTTCGCTCTGCCTGTCTGTCAGACGTGTCTGCCTGCCTGTCTCCCTTTTGCCTGCGTGCCTGTTTGTGTGTGTCGGGTGCGTCAGCGTATGCGTGCGTGTGTGCGCGCGTGTGTGCGTGTGTATATGTGTGTGTGTGCGTGCGCGACTCATGGTCGCTTTCCACGCGGCCACTGGGGCCCTCGTGGGCCAGGTCTTCCGACCGCTCTTCCCTAGTTTGGTGATCTCGTGGGCTTTGTGTGTCGGGGGAGGGCGCGTGGGGAAATCACCAAATAAGCGTCTCCCCCTTGGTTTTTCTGTTTCCATGCGTTTTTTCCATTATTTCTCTCTCTCTCTCTATCTCTTTTTCTATGTCTTTCTCTCTCTGGATCTCTTTCTCTCTCGCTCTCTCCCCCGTCTCCGTTTTCGCTTCGCCTTTCTGTCAGTCTAGTCAGCCTATCTCCTTTTTGCCTGCTTGTCTCTCCGTTTGTGTCGGGTGCGTCAGCGTATGTGTGTGTATGTGCTTGTGCGTTGCATGGTCGTTTTCTACGCGGCCGCCGGTAACCCGCGGGGTACGTTTCCCGACCGTTTCGCCCGAGTTTGGTGATCTCATCGGCTCTGTGTGGCGGGCGGGACGCGTGGGGAGATCACCAACGTCAGGACTCTCCCTGTGTTTGTCTTTGTCCCTCTCCCTTTTGTTGTCTCGTTTTTTTTGTCTCTCTCTCTCTCTCTCTCTCTCTCTCCCTCTTCCCCCCTGTCTCCGGTTTCGCTTTGGCTGTCTGTCAGTCTAGGTAGCCTTGCCTTGCTTTCCTGCCTGTCTGTCCGGGTCGGGTGCACCAGAAGATGTGTGCGCGTGTGTTTTCTGCGCGGCCCGCGGGCCAGGTTTTCCGACCGTTCCGCCCTAATTCGGTGAGTTCGTCGGCTTTGTGTGGCGGTGGGGGCGCGTGGGGGAATCGCCAATTTAGGGTCTCTCCCTTTTCCCCCCTTCCTTTTAAACAAATCTCAGTCCTTTCTCTCCTTCTCTCTGTCTCGCCCCCTCTCTCCGTTTTCGCTTTGCCTATCTGTATGTTTAGCCTGCTTGTTTCCCGTCTGCCTGCCTGCCTCTCTGTCTGTGTCGGGTGCGTCACGCGTCGGCGTATGTGTGCGTGCATGTGTGTATGTGCCCTTGGTGCACGGTCTTTCAATCCGTCACTTGTTAGCTGCCAGGTCGGCGGCGGTGGTGCAATTTTTCTGCGTGTATGCACCAGCATCAGGTCGGCTGGTCTGGCAGCCTTGTACTTGATCACTTGCTGTTGCCTCTTCGAGGCTCCACTTAGCACCAGACTGCTGCTCGCGCTTCAAACTACCCGCGTCGAGCTGATGTGCCTCGTTGTTTTTGTCCGTTGCACTTTTGCTTTACAGCACCTCTCGCCCTTCTCCACCAATCAGCATGGCCGTGACTGATTATTTCATCATGACACGTTCGCTTAATTTCGCTCGCGATTGGCAACTCCACCTGCCGACCGCGCCTCAGGCTCCTCTGCGCCGCTGACCTTTAAAACAAGTGCGTGTGTGTATGCGCGTCTCGTGGTAGTTGTCTCTCGCTCTGTGTTTTTTTTGTTTGATTCCTGTCTCACTATACATGCATTCGCAAATACATCTCTCATCTGTCACTCTCAGTATGGTTTTGTATGTTTTATTTCCTGTCGCTATCATGTGCTTGTCCTCTCTTTCCTGGCCTCTCTATCCCACGCTTTGTCTTTCTTGTAGGTGTGTTTGTGTGTTCCTCCGTCTCTCCCTTTCTCATTGCTTGTTTTTGTTGTTTCTCTCTCTCTCTCTCTTCTTTTTTCTTTTCCTCTCTCTCTCTCTCTCTGTCCTCCATATTGTTTCGTCTGCTTCCGGCACGCGTTCTCTCAACCTCACCCTCTTTTTTCTCTTCTTCCTCGCTTTTTCGTTTTATTCCCCAACCAGTTCCTGCACTGAAGAGATCCTAGCGAAAATTGAAACATTTTGCGCAAGGTGTCGGGCCGATTTCGGTTTCCAGGGTTCGGGTTCCCGGGTTCCAGGTTCCAGGTGCGAAAGGTGCTGGCGGCCAGGTTCCCGGGTTCCGGCTATCCGTGCGCCCACTTGCTGTTTCCAGGCCGATGTTGGTAGGGCGGTGGGGTTCCCGGGTTTCCGGTTTCCCGGTTTCTTCGTCGATCTGTTTATCGATCGGCTTCACCATCGATATCATTATGTTTTTTTCTATCGATGTTACTATCGATCTCATTATCGATGTCACCATAGATCGCACTGTCGACGTCGCGATCGATATCATTGTCGATTTTACTGAACCGATATCACAAATGGCCTCACAATCGACCTCAATACTGTCCTCATTTTTGACCCTCATCTCGATCTCATTTCATTAATATTCAAGCCATCCGCTGATTGTGTTTTTCTCTGGTGTGACATATCTTGTTTGTTTCTCTTCCTCTCTCTCTCTTTCTCTTTCTCTCTTTCTCTCTCTCTCTCTCTCTCTCTCTCTCCCTCTCTCTCTCTGTCTTTCAAAGCGTAACACGCTTCGCCCTGATTTGGTCGTTTTGGGTTTGATCTGAGTCCACCGCGCAAACGGCAGAAGTCATTGTTCTAGGTCGGCGGTTGTGTGCGACCAGATGGCGCGCACAGGTGGCTCGACCTCATTTGGTGATTTTGGATTTGTTCGGAAGTTACCAGGCAACTGGTAGAAATCACCGTTATATGTCGGTCGTGGTGCGTAAAGAGATGGTGTGTACAGGTGGCCCGACCAAATTCGGCGATTTTTTGGTTTGCTCAGAATCATACCAGCAACCTACAGAAAGTACCGTTCCAGGTCGGGTGATGTCTACCAAGAGATGGCGTGCACACGGTGTCGGATTTCATTCGGTGACTTGTGGTTCGTTCGGAGCCCATCGAGCAATCGGCAGACGTCGATGTGCTTGGCGCCATTTGCCACGCCGGGCAACGGGCCTCCTCTTCCTCATGCTCCTTCGCCTCCTCCTCCTCCTCCCTCCTCCTCCTCCCTCCCTCCCTCCTTCTCCTCCTCCTCCTGTGCTTTCCAATCCCTTGGGCGCCCGCCGCTCTGCGCCGGCGGGGCGCGCCGAGCGGCGGCGTCATCCGCCGTGCCGGACACGGGCCTCCTCTTCCCGTATTCGTCCTCTTTGCTCCTCCTCCTCCTCCTCGTCCTGCTCCTCCTCCTCCTCCTCCTCCTCCTCCTCCTCCTCCTGCCGTGCTCTCCAATGCTCGGGCCGGTTGGGCCTTTCGCGTTCCAGGGTTGGGCTATGGGCGCCCTTCCAGGGTTGGGCTTTTCCTTTTCTGGGGTTGGGACTTTTCTTTGCCGTTTTCGGATTTCTGGCGCACCGACCAGAGAAGGGGGGGACGTGGGAGGAGGAGGGGGAGGAGCAGGGGGGAGGGGGGGGGGGGGAGAAGGAGGCGGAGGAGGAGGAGGCCGCGGCGCCCGATGCGTTTTCCAGAGCCCCTGGGTCTCAGATATCTCTGGCTTATGCTTAAGTCGGGCCTGTCCCTTTGCAGGGGGAATATTCAAAAATAGTCAAAACATGGTTTGGGATTGTTCTTGTCGTTTTGCCCCTAGCTTGTCTGCCCTTGCCTTCCTCAGCCCACCCTTGTGGTCTGTTTCGTTGTGGCGCGGGCTGCGCCCCTTCGACTCTTCTCGCAAGCCTAGAGGTTGACGCCAACACCAAGATCGGCGGCGTGCCTCCACCGAGGGAAGAAGATCCCAATCTCGGTGATGGTGGTAATATTATGGCTTCCAAGGTCGTCGAAATATTGCCACCAACGCCGACATCTGGGGTCATCTTCCCCCCTGTGGAGGCAGCCCCCTGTCTGGGTGTTGGTGGTGCCCATCTCCAGGCATCCAATTTTCGCCCCCGCGGCCCGCGCTGCGACCGTGGCCGCGCCTTGCGAGGCGCGGTGCGCGAGCTCGGGCGGCCCCCTGCCGTCAAGACGCCGAGACGAAGGGGCCGCCTCGGGTTCGGGGGAGAGGGGCTGCCTGCGTGCGCGGCGGAGGAGGAACGGGAGGACGAAAAGGAGGAGGGGGAGGGGGAGGAGGAGGAGGAGGCAGGGGGAGGAGAAGGAGGAGGAGGAGGAGGAGGAGGAGGAGGATGGGCAGGAGGAGGAGGGGCAGGAGGAGGAGGGGGGGGAGGAGCATGAATAGGAGGAAGAGGAAGAGGATGAGGAGGAGGCGGAGGAGGAGGAGGGTGGCAGGGGGAGGGGGAGGATGAGGAGGGTGGCAAGGGGGGGAGGAGGGGCAGGAGGAGGAGGGGGAGGAGGAAATCGTGGTCGTGCCTCGGATGCGCGGGGCGCGAGCTCGGGCGACCTTGACAGTCAGACGCTGAGATGATGAACCCCTTCGGGCTCAGGAGTGAGCCTCGGTTCCGGGGCCGCTCTTCGGATCCAGGCCGGAGAGCCTGTTTGAAGCCGAGGTTCGGCGTGGCCAGACAAGCCCTTGCGTTCCTTGCTCAGCGCCCTTGGTGGCAGCACGATTCGGCGGCGCGCCCAGGGGGGAAGGCAGAGGGAGAGGGCCTTTTTCGTTCGGCAGGCTCCAACGGCCTCCGTCCTTGCGGGAAGTTTTTGAAGCCCCCCACCGTGCCCCCCCCGCCTTCTCCCCCCTCGGCGCGCCGCCGATGGAAGAGCGTACCGCCGCCGACGCGGGGCCCAGGTCACCTGCGGGGGCGCGAGGATGATCGCGCCACGCGCGTCGCGGTCTGGGCCCGAGCAGCTGCCCTTCTCCACGGGAGGGGCGCGGGGGTGCGAGGGCGCGAAGATGACCGCGCGCGTCGCGCCTCGCGGGGCGCGATGCGCGAAGTTCGGTGACCCGGGGGGGCCCTCCTCGCCGCGGGCCGCCGCGCCCGCCCGAGGTGTGCAGAAAACGAGTGCCCCCCCCGGCCAGCGCGGACGGCGCGGGTGGGCACCCGGGGCAGCTGTACGTCGTGCCGTTCCCGCTGGAGGACCCTTGGCCTTCCGGATGGAGTCCGAGCAGACGGGACTGGAGGATCGCGCCGCATGGCCGATGCCTGGTTTTCTCCGCGCCGATGCGTCGGCCGTGCATCGCGGATGCATCGGCGATTCGGCGAGGGCCTCCGGCCCCAGCTGGTCCGGCCCCGGCCGGGAGGCCTCTGAGAGGACTGCATCTGCCCTCGGGCGGCCGCGTTCCCCGCGCGGGGCCAGGCCCGGCGGCGGCGGCGGGAGAGCCCGCGGGCCGCGCGCACACCCCTTCGCCACGAGTCGGTGCGGCAGGAAGGAGTGCTGGAAGGGTTCGTGGGCAAAGATCGGGGGCAACGGTAGGCTTGGCATCGTTCGGACGTGTGCACTTTTTCTCGGCGAGAACCATCGAGGACCATCCTGGACCATCGACCGAAAATACCACGCACGAAACCGAAAAATGCACGGGACATGGACGTCCGAGCGACGGCAAGGAGGGGGGGGTGGGCATAGGGGGGGATGCATCGACCCCCAATCGCCCACCGATCGCCGACAGGGGCCCGACAGCTCCAAAGTGTCCAGGAAGGTGTGGACTCACTCTCAGAGGCCGATCGACGATCTGTCGGCGATGTTTCGCCGATTCCAGGTCGATGCATCCCCCGCTATGCCAGTCCTCTCCTATCGTTGCCCCTCAGAAGAGCATACCATAGCCGTATCTGCGGTCTCGCGGGCTGACCCCTGGGCCGCGACCCCGCAGATGCGGGTTTTGTTTTTCGCAGATGCGCCCCGCGGGACGTATCCATGCGACCGCGTATCCGCGGGATCGCGCCCCAGAGTCCAGACCGCGGGGGCGTGGATACGGACACGTTCGCCGCTGGTGAAGAATGGGGACGAAGACCAACAGCAGTTCTTGTCCATTCTGAGCAGGATTCGATGTCTGTGTCGCCGCGGGCGCTGTCCATTTGAGACACCAGCTCGTCTGCCCAACAGCGGCCGCTGTCGGTTTTGAACTACAGTTCCTGCCAGGCATCGTGCAACTCATTTTCCGTACCGGTTGCGGGCGGGCCAAACAAAGGAAACCGGTCTTGAGGGAACCGAGTTTTGCAGTTTTTCGTCTTTTTCAGGCTCGGGCCTCCCCTGGCCACGGGACGGTCCAAACACGATTCAGGAGGAAAGATTGGTCCTTGGGGGGGAGGGCCCCGTGATCCAGGGCCCGTTTCCCCCAGAACCCGTTTCCTTCAGGACCCGTTTCTTTCAGGCCCCATTTTTTTCATGCCCCCCTCCCGTCCCGGAGCTCGCTCTCAAGGGAAGAGTCTCCCCAGGAGTCCCCAGGAGCCCGCTCTCGAGGGAGAGAGTCGCTCGGGAGAGGCCGGGGCCACGTGATCTCCCAGACCGCATGCCCCCTCTCCTCTTTCGGTGCGTCCCTTGAGCCAGGGCTGGACCTAAACGGTGTTTTGGCGTTTTCGTGGGCCGTTTTCGTTTCGACTCCGTTTTGCTGTAGAGGTGGATGGAAGGCAAAACGAAGGAAAACGACACCAAAACGGAAACGAAAAACACCGTTCAGGTTCAGCCCTGCCCTGAGCCCCCCACCCCGCCCTCCCTCGCCCGCGCACGCGCCTCGGGCCACGAGGCGCGCCCCGCCCCCCCTTCCCCGGGCCCCCTTCTTCGGCGCCCCCCCGCCTTCCTCTCATCAGGAGCGAAAGAAGGACGCACACGTACATGAATCCACGCTGGTTTCGAGAGAACGCACAGCGCAAATGTTCGTATAGCGCGGCCAGTCTCGCGGATCGAGGGGCCGTGTTCATGTACATAGCTGGGCGCGTATGTCCTTTTTGGGCTCCCCATCTCAGGGGGGGGGGGCGACCAAGGCCCCCCGGCGGGCGGGTCCAGATCGGGGGGGGCCGTGGCGAGGGTGCCTCCCCCCCCCCCGGGGAGGGCGAGCCGCGGAAGGGCCGCCGTCGCGGTCGTCGCCGCTCCGTGTCGCCGCCGCCGCAGCCGTCGCCGTCGCTGCCGCCGTCGCCGTCGCCGTCCTACGGTCAAGTCGCTGATGTAAGCAAGGGCCACTTGGGGCTCAGGAGGGGTTGCGCTGTTCGGGCCGGATCCCTCAGCTTCGGGTCGGGGAGCCTCTTCGTGGCCGTGTGGACGTTGCAGCGATCCTGCCGCGGGCGCTCAAAGTCGAGCGCCGCAAGTGGCCCAGAACCGCCCAGTATGGGACGATCTGGCGATCGAGGAACCGCCGACGCCAGACCCCCGACGTCGTGATGATGTTTTCAGAACGTCCACCCCAGGACGTCTCGTCCGATTCCCCAGGGCCGATTTCTCATCCTGAGTCCCGTTCCGTCGGTGCCGAGGCCCCGTAAGGGCCCCCAGGGGCCGAAAATAGCAGACATGACCCCTGGGGGTCTATTCAGTCTGGGGTTCTGGTGTTGGGGGCGCCCGAGCCTCTCGCCGAACGGCCCCGCCCCTGGTCCTCGCCGCCGTCGTCGTCCTCGTCCTCGTCCTCGTCGCCGTCCTCGTCGCCGTCGTCAGAGGCCAGCGCCGAGGTCGTCACAGCACGAGCCCCGCTGGGGTGCGGTGGCTGCGGCCTCCCTGCGCCCCCTCCCCGGAGGCCCCGCAGCCTGGGCAGCCGGGCGCCGACCTGCGGCCCGCCATGCGGGCGAGGCTGGAGGCGCTGGAGAGGCGCGGCGACAGCGACGGCGTGACAGCCTCGGCGCTGATTTCTGACGACGGCGACGACGACGACGACGACGACGACGACGACGACGACGACGACGACGACGACGACGACGACGACGACGACGACCGCGACGACGACGACGACGACGACGACGACGACGACGACGACGGCGGGCTTGCCCGCGCATCGGGGCGGGGACGTTCGGAGAACACCGTGTGGTGACTCAGTGGGGGTTCGCGGTGAGCGCGCAGATTTGGTACTTGTGTCGTTCTCGAGGACGCTTTGGGCGATTGCGGCCTGTAGGTTTCCCAAACCGTGCGGCGACGGACCTTGTTGTGAGGTCTTTTGGGACCTCGAGGTCAGCGTACGGTCTGTCACCTTTTGAGACCCCCTAGGATCGGCCACGCGTAAACATGTCCTTTTTGCAGTGCTGACCTTTCGCTGGAGTGGACTTCGGTGCGGGCCCGCTGGGATCCGCCGATTTTTGATCGCGTCGCGATAGCAGCGGCTCGCGCAGCTTGGTTTGGCCTGCGCGCGCACCCGAGAACCCCGCACACCAAAGGACATTCTCAGCTAGGGCTTCTCTTGCGCGCGACCAGGAAAATGAAACGGCGAATAACACGTCGGAATATATATATATATATATATATATATATATATATATAGTCAACGCTTGGTGCTCCAGAAGGGCTCTGATGTTTGGCTGTTCCTTGGACTTTCGCCTCGTGTATTGTTGCTCTGGCCTTCCTCCCGCTCACGCATTCCTCGCCCTTTCGGGTCGAGCAGGTGGCCCGAGGCCCCCGCGCGCGCGCTGCCGCGAGCGCCGCGCGGGCCAGCGAGGAGGCCGCCGCGGGACGTCGAGGAGTCCGCCCGCGGGCGGAAGGCCGAAGGCCTGCCCCGCGGGGGCGTCCTCAGCTCCGACGGGCGACGAACGGTCGGACCGACCGAGGGGACTGCTGGCGCGGCGGCCGCTGGCGCGGCCAGGGCCGAGGGGCTCGCGCGGCCAGCCACCCCCAGGAACGCAGCCGCCGTGGTCGCTTGAGGGGCGCGGGCCGCGACGCATGCGGCCGCAGGTTCGAGCCCGTGGCCAAGCGAATGCCCGCGAGTGCTGGCGCTGGCGGTGGCAGGCGTGCCGCCCCTCGACCTGCACGGCGCGCGTCCTCGCCTCCGCGTCGGGGCGAAGCGGACGCGCGGGCCGTCTCCCCGGCATCATGGGTGCTACCCTGTGGTGCCGGGGGGCGAAAGCAGCTTGCCTGCGGTCATCGAGGTCGAGGTGGCCCACGGCGACGCGGCCTTCAAGGTGCACGCCCTTTCCCAGTATCCTTTGGGTGGCAAGTCGAACGAGGAGGGCGGCCCCGCGACTTCGCGCCGCGCTTCGAGGTGGAGTGGCTCGGTGCGCGGTGCGAGACCCACGCGGCGGTGGTGTGGCAGGCCTTTTTACGACCCAACGAGCGGCCACCGCTGCGCCACTTCTGTCCGAGGGGCGTGAGCCCCATGGACTCCGACGGTGGTCATGGCCTTTTCGAGCGCGCGATCCTGCGCATTGGCTGGTGGCGCTGCGCGAAGTTGCAGTGGCCGCCCGCCGGCGGGCCGGAGGAGGACGATGCCTCCGGGGCGGCTACTAAGAGCCGAGCGGGCGAGCCTCGCCGCGACGAGGCCGCGATCGTCAGCGCGACGGGGCTGGCCAGGGGAGCCGCTCGCCTTGGGGAGGCGCCACTGGCGCCAAGGCTGCAGGTTCCCGCGAGAGCGTCGGCCGCGAGGCGGCTGGGCCAGGAGGCGGAGCTGGCCGAGCGAGTCCAGAGGTTCGAGGACTGGCGCGCGGCGGGCCAGCGAAATGTCCTCGCGGAACATTCGCTCCAATATGTCAGGGAAGGTCAGGGGCGGTATCGACAGCAGTGGCGCGAGCTCATATTCGGGCAGTTCGCCAGGTGGCCGCTCGCGCCTTGGCCCCGCCCGGCTCCGCGCGCGACCGTGCCGACCGCAGGATGGAGAAGAGGCCGAGCGACACCGCCGAGCGCGCTTTCCACGATATGGCCGCGCGCGCGGGGAAGCGCGGGGTCGAGTGCGGCGACGACTCGGGCCCCATCGCGCGCGCGCATCTGACTGGCGCGTTCGCCCCGAGCACGACGGGCGCCCTATCGCCACGGAACGACCGGGAGGTGAGGGCGCCGGCCTCCGCGGTCGACCTGGCCCCCGCTGGCGACGCTGCCCGCGCGACCGACGCGCTGATCCAGCAGCGCAGAGCCGCCGAGCGGGCCCGCGACGATGGTGGCTGGAAGACGGCGGGCCATTTGGGCGCGGCGCCGGACGGCCGAATCTCGGCCATGGAGGACCGCGAGCGCGACGACCTCTACCAGGACGGGAAGCATGCGGCGCGGGCCGATCGCGCAGCAGATGGCGAGGAGCGGCGCCGGTCACGGACGCGCGCCCTCGGCGGCTGCTGGCCCCCCAGAGCGAGCGGCCGCTGAGGTCAGCGCAGACTGGCGCTGCGAGAACGGGCCCAGGCGACCGCGGTCCTGAATCGCGAGCCCGCGACCCGGTCATTCTTCGCGGAGCTCGCGAAGTCGGAGCAGATGGTCCAAGGGGATTTATGAGGCGCGGCCCATCGGCGCGGGCCCGCTTCGCCGACGAAGTCACGCGGGCCCGCTTCAACCCTGGCAGCCCCGCGGGATCATCATTGCGGGGGGGCGCGGGGCCCCGTCGCTGCCGGGCGCGTGCCGCGGTCGCTGCAGGGGGCGGCCACGGGCGCGAGCAGGGGCGCTGCCCTCCAGCCGCCCTCGGGGCCCGAGGCGCCCTCCGCCAGGAGTCGAGGGGGGCCTCCCAGGGCAATGGCAAGGGCAAGGCCGGCGACCGCGGCAAAGGCGAGGGCAACGGCGTGGGCTCGAGAGGCCTCAGGCCGCCGGCCAAAGGAGCACGCCCAAGCGCTTCTGGAGGGCCCGCCGCGACGCGTGGAAAGGCATGGGCAAGGGCGGGGCGCGGCGAGAACATTCGAGTTTAGGGGGGGCCCAGGCCACGGAGGCGGAGGAGACTGGCTGGACTGCAAAGCGCGCGGGCACCCTTCCCGCTGGCCCACCCACGAGGTGCGTTGGCACCGTTGGGTCTCCCTCTTGGCCGTCGAAGCGCGCTGGCGCTCGGGCGAAGGTCCGCCCTGCCTCGGGTTTCGGGCGCCCGCTTGACTGGCTCGCTGCGTCGCCGGGCGCGGACTCGGTCACGCTCCTCGCCCCCGGCGATCTAGGCGGCATTCTTCGCGGGGCCCTCGCGCGCTTCGTGGGGGCGGGGGTTCGGGGTCGGCCGGGGCCCTCGCTCCATGGGGGCGGCGCTCTCCCAGGGCATTCCCTTGGGAGCCGCGGCGCCTCATGGGGTCGGAGGTTCGAGGTCGGCCGAGCGCGCGGGGGTGGGCCCCCCGGCGCCGGGGCCCGCTGCGGCCAGGCAGCATGGCAGCGAGACCTTCTCCTTTCCCCATCGCTCGAGGGGCAGCGTGGCACAGCGCGTGCCGGGCGACCTGCCGAGCTGGCCGTCGAGGGCGACGCAGCTGGGGCTTTCCGTGCAAAGGAGTGCCCGTTGGCCTTGACGAGTGGTTCGCGGCCGCAGCGCTTCGCCTCGGCGCCCCGCGGGTCGCGGGCAGGGTCGCCGTTCCCGCGGCCCGCTGCCGAGGGCGAGGTCAGGGGGCAGGGGGGGGGGGGGCCAAGGGTCTGGAGTCAGTGCCGCCCGCCCGCCAGGTCTAGGCCCCTCCGGCTGATAGAGCGCCGGGCGGGTGCCTTCCTAAGCCAGTCTCCTGCGCCCCCCCCCGCCCTTGGCGCGCAGGGGTTCTCGGCGACGAGGCCCATTGGCTACGCGGGCGGGGTGGCGCGAGGAGCCGGGGCCCTTGCCCAGGCCCAGGTTGGGCCCGCGCCCCCGCCGGGATCGGCGCGACCCCTGGGCCTCGCGGAGCTTGGGGGCGGGCGCGCGCGGGCGTGGCCCGTCGACCCGATGGCCGCGCTGGCGCCGCTCGAGGGCCGTCAGACTTGCCCTTCAGCGGGGCGGTTCTTGCGCGAGCCCGACTCTCTCCTGCCCCTCGCCCGGCAGGCTGCTCGAGAGGGGGCGGCGGTGCCGCCGCGACGCGCGGGGCCCTTCGAGGTTGCTGGGGGGCCGCTGCTGAAAGGCTCGCGCGGCGTCTGCAAGGGCGCCGTCGCCGATGGCGACCCGCAAACCCGCGGCAGCGCGAGGCGCTGAGGTTGCGGCCGCCAGCTGCGTCAGCCTCGACTGCGGCGGCGACGTCGGCGCCCTGCCTTCGCCCAGTGGAGGTCCATTATGTTGGGGCCGCGGTCGGGGCTTGCGTGGAGCTTCGACGACATCTTGTGGCGTTCTACTTGTTCAGGCTGACCATGTCGCGGGAGTCTCTCTCCGCGTTCGACGCGGCCTTCGGCTCTCTCGCCCATGGGCCCGACGGCTTCTGGAACGGCGAGGCAGTGCATCTCGGGGCGGTCACTGCGCCCGCGGGTTACAAAAACGCGATGGGGCTCATCGGGTATGCTCGCCGCCAGATTCTCGCCCAGGGCGGGCTTGGAGCGCGAGGCCTTCCCCGTGGGCGCGAGATCCGCGAGGGTCAGGCGGCGCCCGCCCTGGTCGCGCACTCGGAGGCGCTCGACAGCGCGCGGCAAGTCCCTTGCGACGACGCGGACGACGGCGAGCCAGTTGGCCTCGGTCCCGATCTGGCGGGCGCGCCGCCCCTCGCCTCTCAGGCGCGGCCGATGCTTGGTGAGCCCCATTCGCCCCTGAGCTCCAAATCTGGTACCCAGCTGAGTTCCCGTCGGATGCTCAGGGCGCTCCTCGGCGGAAAGAAAGGCCAGCCGAGTCCGCCCGCCCTCCCGGCGAGCCGCGCTCATGGCGCTGCTGAGCGCTCGCAAGACGTCTCGCTGAAGGAGTTCCAGGTTTTCTGTTCGGCCACTGGAACTGTGCGCGAGTCCCGTTTGTCTTTCCTTATTATTGTTCTTTGCCGCTAACCTTTTCGGCCCCATGGCAT